TCGAATATTGGTTCGATTATAGAACGATTGTAAACGTTCCAGAAAATTGATCAAATTGAAAATAGTTCGTTTGACTGGACGTAAAAATTCTCTAATTAGTCTGGAAACGGGGACCTAATTCTTGCATTGTGTGAAAACGGGTAAGATTGGCTATAATGTAATTATCTTAATCTTCACTATCGTTACTTTTTGCCCAGCGAAGCGGGTCCTTGCAGCTAGATTCTAGATTACTTAGAAAAATAGTCTTTTATATATATATAAAAAACTATACTATTACATACAAATAAAAACCCAGCGAAGCGGGATCTTGCAGCTAGTTTCATATAAATGAGAAATTGTCGTTACCACATTCTGATCAATTGATGCATTCAGTATGAGTGCTAAGATTATGAAGTTTTACAAGACTCGTTCAATATTTCCAGGATGTAAAATTTCCATTTTAATTTTAGTTTTGACAAATTTATTTTGTACATCTGACACTAAAAATTTATTTTAAAAACTTTTAGTGGCTATTTTACCTTGTATTTTATCATGATTAACCATATTCTTGTAAAAATTGAAAAATTTAGGTAATGTAAATTGTGTTATGTGGATAATACTAATGCAATCTGCTCTTGATGTATGCAAATCTTTTAAAGCTTTTAAATTAGTTTGATACTTTAATTAAGTAATAAAGATATGAATTAGAAGGACTACTAATATTTTATTTTAGCAGTCCTAATATATACCTAACCTAATAGTTACAGTAATATTCTGTAACTATTAGGGGCAGTCAAATGAAAACGACACAGATGGGAAAAAAGTAAGTAAACTGTTTATTACTTCAAAAGTAATTGCCATAACTGTTGATACATTTATCCCACTGTGAGACAAGACTGTCAATGCCTTCATAGAAAAATGTTTGCGGTTGCTACAGAACCATGATTTTACCCAGGCGTGTACCTTTTTATCCAAAGCAAATTGACGGCCACGAATATCTTTCTTCGGGGCTCCAAAAATATGGAAATCGCATGGGGAGAAATCAGACTGTATGGAGGATGCAGAAGTTCCCAGTGAAACTTCTGCAGCATAGTCAAAACAACCTTGGTAATGTGGGTGGGCATTATCCTGCAACAGAATGATGCTGTCTGTCAATATTCCTGGGTGTTTGGATTTGATGGCACGCTTCAATTTTTGCAAAGCTTCTATGTACCACTGTGCATTAAGTGTGGCGCCATGTTCCAGAAAGTCAACAAGCAGTGGACCTCCATAGTGATGTTGGACGCACACATGACACCAACCTCACTTCGAGCATGTCTAACAGACAAATGGCACAGTGGTGAACGTTTACGCTGTTCCTTCCTGATTCCCAATAGAGGGCAGTTCTATATACACACCTACCTTCATTACCAACTTCCGTGCCACACTTGTTATATAGTCTGTCTCGTTTTCATTTGACTGTCTCTAATATATATTCTTTATTTAGTTATCAAATTTTGATCATTATTATAAAAATATTCATGCACAGATGTGTTTCTTAAATTTGTTAACACACATGGATATTATAACAATTGCAATTTAATTAAATTAGAAATTATTTTTAATTGATCAGTGGTATTTTTTTCATGTTAAGAGCTAAGTCAAAAAGTTTCTATTATTCTCGCAGTATGTCAAAAAATATATTTTATTTTCTACTATTTTCTGATTGATGTAAATAAAACCTTGAAAATCGTAACTAGGCTTATAATTAATTAACGTAAAGTAAATCTGTTAAGAAATACAAGTATCTGCAATAACATATGTAACAATTAAGAAATATTTTAGTATTTTGAAAAGAGGGCTTAATCCTATTTTAAATATTGGTATTTATTTATTTATTTTTAATTTGTATGAAAACAAACTGTTTAAATAAATTTATTATGAGCTATTGATATAAATTTCTTTATTAAGTTCGTTTGTTAAAACAAAATTTCACATAAAATTTATTGGATAAAATTTCTTTTTTAAATAAAACAAAAATTCATCGTCATTAGTAATTTATAATAATAATTGCAAATAGGGAAACATTTGTAGTTAAGATTTTTCATACTTCTCTGTTCCAAGGTCAAGAATATTTCCTTATCACCCAATTAATTGTACTGATTCTAAATACAGCAAACCTGTCTAAAACAGACTCTCTACAAAAAAATAAATCAGCCTAAACAGAAAATAAAACGGAGCAATTTATATGAAATGTACTATTATAAATTAGAACCTGTCTAATGCAGAAAGGAAGACTTTTTAGTTATTAATTGCATAATATAACTAACTCCTGTAGAACAGAAGTCTTTGCCAGTACAGGGCTTTCCGTTTTAGATACATTTTACTTATTTCAAAAAATAAAAAGAAAGTTTTCAAATTTAAATTCGTAAGTTAACTGTAGGTCTACATGTTCAAACGTTATTAATACAGATATTTTATCAATACTAGCTGAATGATTTGATCAGTTGGCAAAACCTACAACAGTGAATGTTGAGCTGTCTGTGAGACCTGCTAATTAAAGGGTTATTTAAATTATTAGTAAGTTAAATATTAAATTATCAATATTTATATTATTTAATCATGTTTAAATATGATCTTTTCAGGAAATGGAAAAATCGAAACCAGAAGAACGACGACCATTTGATCGAGATGTTGATTTAACAATTAATCGCATAGATCCTTCTCAAAGGAAAAAACTTATCGATAATGCAAAATATTTAGATTCTCGCTTTTCTCACGGATCATCACATTATCTTTGAATGTCACAAATTGTTTTTCATTGTAAAATATTTAATAAGTCCTTTATTTTCCATTATATGTAAGATATTTTAATAAATTATAATTGGTAATTTTTATCTAATCGAAATTTTTATTTGAAATTCGTTAATTATTACTAGAACATAACAATAACTAAGAGAACTAAGAGATTTTTTAAATGAAATTTATGTATAAAATTTATGTAGCAATAATTACAAAACTATTTTGGTTGCATGCTTCTAAATTTTATTCTGAAAAATAATTTTCTATTTTTTGTTACATATGTTAAATGTTTTATTGCTATGACATTTTGTTCACAATTAATATCTAAGAAGAACGAAGTTGTTGATATTAAGCTTCTGGATTTTTTGGTTTATCGTCAACTACTGTAGTTGCAGAAGCTTCTGATTTTGTATCACTGGTGTCTTCGCCCGCGCATGCTAGAGATGGATATTTTGCATAAAGAGCTGCTCGATACTTGGGATGACTGATGCCATAAACGATAGGATTGTAACATGCATTAGCTTTAGCAAAAACCGAACCCCAGATGGTTGCAAGAGGAGTCAGACGATCCCCCTTCGTAAAGATTCCCGACCAAGCGATAGTTATATAGGGTGTCCAAGCCATGAACCACAAACCAACAGTCATCATAGCAATCTGTATAAAATGGATCAAATTAATACGATGGTTAAGTAATTAAATACATTATCTCATTTATATAGGCTAACAACAAACCTTGGCCAATCGGCATTCTGCACTTTGCTTTTGTTGATCAGTATTGGCTCGAAGAGAAGCGACGTTCATTTTCTTAGCTTGTTCTCGTAAAGTTTTTTCGTGTTGTGCTACCGCCCTCACGATGAAAAAGTAGCTGTAGATCATAGTTATTAACGGCGTCATATATACCGCGCATCCGTAAATGATAACATAGGACATGTATACAATTTCCTTTGTGAGATAGTCCACAGTGCAACTTGTCATATTACCTTCAGGAACGTACCTATTTACGAATTAAATTTCAATTTATATATCTAAATAATTACGATAAATAAAATCTTACCTATTCCAACCAAACATTGGCGCAATCGTCCAACCGATAGACCAGATCCACACAAACAAAATCTCTACGACGGCTTTCTTGTGAGTAAGAGGAGTAGCTGACATTCCTCGAACAATAACATTGTATCGGTCGAGAGTAATCATCACCATTGTCCAAATGGACACGCAACCAAAAAGCGATCCGGCCATTCCATATATTTCGCACATAAAAGGTCCCAAAATCCAAGTTTCCGCAAAGCAATTAGCAGCCATTGTGGGCATCATGAATGCCATCATAGAGAAATCTGAAAATGCTAGATTAACAATTAATAAATTTGTCGGCGTTCTTAATGATTTCGTAGTCATCATTAAATATATAACCATTCCGTTTCCTATAACGCTTATTATCCCTAGAGCAATCATAGCTATTCCTAAAAGGCTGTGCCAAAGTGGATTCATTGGTGGAAAACGATACCAATGTTCGTGTATCATATACAACATGTCTGTAGGTACCATATCGACAACGGTGGCATTGCGTTGATATGGAGAAGACAGTGCTCCGTAGGTGGCATGCGAAAGTGGGCTATTGATTGGAGCCGATAACATTTTGGAAGTCTGAAAATTATTTTTAAAAAGTTAAAATTTTATTCTTATAAGTTTGAAAATATTAAATTACTTACTCTGTTATAACGATCTTATCTGATGGATATCAGAAATATTTCGAGTGGAGGTATCTCCCGCTATCATATAGCGCTGTGGATATACACACACTCAAAAATCTCAGCAGCCAGATAATCGCGCAGCTCTGCTAAGTAGTCGCTATATGTAAGGAATGATATTATGAATAAGCCTCTATATATACCTGACAATTCAACAAATTATTAATGCACTTTGGGCGTTATCTCGTAAATAGCACGTGTCGGGTTTCTGATGATGATCGAAAGAAATCTTGCAAGTTAAGGTGTTTATCCTATTTTTATTACACTAACGAAACGAGATTATGCCGTTGCCTTCCAGTAAAGTTTGATATAATTTCCGAATAAATTTATAATATATTTAACTTAACTTTTTGAAAATTAACCCTTTCGTAAAGAGAGAACGTTTATGAATAAATCTTAAATTAAACGACTCAATTTTACATGAAATAAGAAATATATAAAGTAAATAAATTATAACTAAAGTGAGAATTTTCTTAAGTTATGAACAAAATTGTTTTATGAATGTAAATTTTTATTAAAAAAATCAGATATAATACAGTCGAACCTCCACAAATGGCCACCTCTAAATGGCGGCCAGTTTTTTAGGAACGTTAAACAAAAATGTATACAAAATAATCCGAGAACAACGGCCATTTTTACATTCCATTCAGTGGCCATCGTTCACAGGTTTCTCTGTAGTTGAATTTCCAAAGTTTTGATTGCTCAAATATAAAGAATTTAAATATTTTAATTAATTTTTTTCTATTTATAATATAAATCTGTTACTAAACTTCGAAAGGAAGAAAATAAATTTAAATATTTAAAATAAATTTTAAAAGTTTAAGATATTTTTCTCATTTAGGAAATTTTGTAATTTATAAAATTCAACGAAAAACTTCCTCTACACAATTCTGCTGTAGGAAATCTTACAAAAGAACAATCTTGTTAAGAAGTTTTACCTTCTAATGAATTATTAAGTGTTCATATTGGTTCTGTATATTGAATATATTTTCTATATAATTGTTTAATACTTAAAATATATTAATTTAATTCATCAAATTTGTTATCACAAATTAGTAATTGAAGTTAAAGTAATTATTGACGTAATTCTTACGAATATTCACAAATATTTTAGATATTCTATTGCAAAATGTAAAGAAACTAGCATTATTCTATGTCGCCGAACAATCGAAAATAGCAACAAGATGTAACCGGATAGTTCTTAAAACTATTTTGGTTATCTTCCTTCACTCAGAACAGAATAAACCTTTTGTTTCATTCTTATTTTAACTAATTTCAAAACAATATATATATATATTGTGTTAAAGAGCAATAAGAATAAGAATTGTAAATTGTACATCTTACTGAAAAAAAAAAAAAATTATTAATTTCATCGAGTTCCAGACACAATTACAGTGAAATAACACCATTTTGTATAGTTTATCCACAAAAAGTTTTCTTTATCATTATTTCTACGCAAGTGTACTTGTTAAATAATAGTATTAATAGTTATTCAAGTGTTACAAAACTTAGGGACCGTCTATTAGGCTAATTATATGTACAGTTTAAGGAAGAAGGAACACGAAAAATACACCGCTATGTACGGTGGGATGGAGGAGTTCGCAGTATTGTCTGCGACCTCCAACAGTATTTAGTGGTAATAATGGCGTACAAATTTGTTCTTTATTAGGTATTTGAATAAACTTATGAGTAAATATTTGCAGAACTTTTAAAGTCATTTCTTCAAGTAGGTTCGGAAACTATTGTACAGGTAATTAAAGAGGAGAGGATTTTCCTAGTGTACAGCTTTGTATACAAATGGCTCAGAAACTCTAGGCTATACATAGTTAATGGACGGCACCTTATTTTGTATTTTTTGTGGGATATTTTAGAATCCAGAACGAAACGCTTAAAATAATCTCGAGAGTAAATTAATAGTGATTTTAGGAGTCTTTCAGACGAGAGGAAATTGTTGTAAATCTTTTTGCAATTTTTAAACAACGATTCAATTTTTTACAAAATATATAAAGTGGGCTAAATGAAGAATATTTAATATAAATAATTCACAAATAAACTCAATTAATTAATACATTGATTATCTCACATAATTAATCATTAGACTGTAAGATAAGCCAGCGGTAAATCAGCGATCATTTTAAAACTACACGCGAATAAATATTTAAACCGAAATTTGTTTATTGTTGTAACAAAAGTAAATTCTAACTACGTAATTCGTTCATTTATACGCGAGATATTTTGCAATGATTCATATAAAACTACTCAAGCGGCAAAGTTAAAAGCTGACGTTTACATTCCGAAGCGCGTGTACGATACATAAATATCACCGCTTATAATATTTGAAATACACGTAAAGTCTAATATATTAATATTCTAATTTATATTTAAAATATATTTTTAATAAATTAATAAATA